AACATGTATTTAGTTATACAACATTCCAATGGATTTCCATACCAATATCCACCAACAAACAGGAGTAACAACAATGTGCTTTGCTCTGGTCAGTGAACTATAGTCTCTTTAGGAAAGTAAAAACTACCTGAAATCAACTTATTCTTCTCTATTATGAGATATAAAAAGCAGTCACCTAAAGAGAGAGTCTTCAGTTTTTTCAGCCACCTTTATGTCCTCAAAATACCTTTTCTCAGAGCACTGGTACTTTGGATGTTCCAGGAATTAAGAGTGAATTGGAGGAAATATCATATTATGGAGAAGTCCAAGTGGATCTGACAGCTAATGTTCACTGGTATTCCTAAAACATCTGCCCAATGCCAGAAAACTATTCAGAGGATACCAAAGCTATTAATCATCAATCTGCTATTTGCCTGCACTGATTTGTGAGTAACTCTACAGATTTGTACTTTCAAAGCCCCAAAGCATAATGAACTAAAAGCACTCGATAGCAAAAGCTGTTTTAATCCTAAATTACAGTTTTCTGGGGTGTTTATTGGTCAGTTTAAAGCTCCACTAAGATTCATCAAGTCCAAGGGACTTCAGAAGCAAAACAAGACAGTACTGGAGTTTAACTTGCTCACTGGAAAAGTAAATCCTAACACTGAGGCTATAAAAAAGCCTATGAAATAGCATGACAATAAGTGCATCTAAAACTAAGTTTCTTTAAACAGAAGTGATGAGTGCACAGGGAAGAAAAGAAAAACTATGTGGAGGGAAGAAAAAATAGGGCACCATTACCCATGTGCTCTTGTTCCTGCTCTCCCAAGCACCTCTGGGGTTTAAACTACTATCCTTACCACTAGCATCAGAGCAAGTGTTGCAGTTTGTCTTCAGAAAACTCTTATGTTTATTCTGTTGAGACCTTTGTGTCCAGCAAAGCTTCCTCTGCAGCTGTGTCGCAGCACCCGCCCGGAATCCTTACTGGGATGGGCTGATGTTCAGAGTTTGGGAAGACAAATCACAGCTGCAAGTCGAGGACTGATCACAGAATCATAGAATTTAGGAGTTGGAGCTTAGAGCTCACCCAGCCCCAAGCCCTGCCCTGGGGCAGGGACACCTCCCACCAGAGCAGGTTGCTCAAGGCTCAGCTCAGCTGGCTGTGAACACTGCCAGGGTTGGGGCAGCCACAGCCTCTCTGGGCAACCTGGCACAGGGTCTCACCACCCTCACAGATGAGATGTACACACACACACACACACACACACACACACACACACACACACACACACACACACACACACACACACACACACACACACACACACACACACACACACACACACACACACACACACACACACACACACACACACACACACACACACACACACACACACACACACTAAGTGTTACAGAGCTATAAGGGCTCCTTCTGGACAGCTCCTAAGCATTCATTTAAAGAAACAAAATCCGATTTTGTAGCTGTTTGGTCTGACTTTAAGATGGCAGTAAGTGAATCCTGGGGCAGGAGAGGGATCACTCTCGTGTCCTGAGGCTCACAAACACTCCCCATCTCTCAAAATGCTTCCCCCTGACCCACACAAAACAGTTCACACCTTTTCCTTTTATGCCTGACCACACTTTGCCCATGAAAAGAAGTGGAGTAGAGGAGAACCTGGTTGCCCTTTGCTGCTTGGGCTGTCTAGGGAGTCTTCCTTCACCTCCCTGTGTTTGGGCACCTTTAGTTCTAGTGCTCCTTCTTGGACAAAGAGTATTTTGGGAAATATGTCACAAATGCTCTGCAGCAAAACCAGTGCAGAGAGTAAGACCCAACTGCATGGACCAGGGCAATATTACTCCTGCTTGAAGCCTTTGGCTTAGCAACCAGACTTTCACCTGAGCATCACGACTACATGCAACTGTGGCAAGCTAAAGCAGCCAAAAAGCAGAAAGGCAAAACCCAAGGCTTCTATGGAACTAAAGAAACAGCACCCTGAAAAAAAAAGCAAATTAAAATCAGAGATTATCTTTGTCATTCAATTACAGGTGAAAGCAATAAAGCACCTGACAAACACTCTCCATCAGTCTGTCCCAGGCAATAGATCACTTACCTTTTGGTTTGCTTCTCTAAAGAAAAAGTAAAGTGCTTTGATTTAAGTTATTGGGGCAGAAAGCCAACACCCTGTTTTGAAATTATTTTCAAGACTCCAAGAAAGTCCTGGAAGCTCCCTGTGTTCACAGGAGCAGCTGTGAGCTGGGCAAATGGAACTGCATCAATCTGTAGTGCAACCTCAAGGCTGTATCTATATGTCTAGATTACTTGTTATCTTTTTTAAAATGACTTTCTGAAACAAAGCTCTTCTAGAGACTAGTGAAAAAGACACAGGGAATGTCACAGCTCATCCTACAGCTGGAAGACAAAAGAGCCAGAGGCAAGCACAGGAGATGCTAAACACGTGTTTGCCAACAAAAAGCACTGCAGTCCTTTAGCTGCTAGTTTCACTGCATTATTTCTCCATCTTTTAGCCCTGAATGTAATAAACTTCCCTGGCCCAGAAAAACCTGAGTGAGCTAAAGCTGAAGCTCCTGTGAAAGGAGATGGTGATATTTCTCACACCTACCAAAAAGAAACTGCTCCTTGGAGGCAGCACCAACACTATGTCTGCAGCAATCTGTGACCCACAAAAAGAGACACAGCAGCTTCTTCTGAAAGGAATGCGATGTGCCCTGACAATCCCTCACCCCCAACACCCCTGATCTCTGCAAGTAACATCATCTCTCAGAGAAGCTCCAGTGTCTACAACAACCAATGGCCTATTAAAAAAAACCTCATCATTTAAAGCAGCAATACCCAGAAGGTAAATATTTTATGTTCCATTTCCTCCCTTTCTGTGTCTGCCAAAGATTTATTGAACACAGTGGCCAGCTCGATGCTTTCTGTGCACTAATCTGCAGCAGAAGAGCATTGAGGTACTTTGACATGAGCAGAAACAACCTGACAACACAAACTGCTACAAAAAGCAACACAGAACAATACAAAGCACACACTTGTTTTAGTTAGGTAAGTGCCCACTTAAACAAGAGTTTTATCCTACTTGAATTCAAATGGAAGGGCAGTTTGGTTTTCCCAAAGGTGTATCTGGAAGGAGTTATTTTCGTGGAGAAGTCAACTACCAAAATGGGAATATATAACCAATGTCATCTTATCTGCTCTTCACAACAGCGGAAATCTCACAGTAGTGCACTGGGTAAAATCTGAGTGAGGCTGTATGTGTGTCTGTGTGTGTGACTAAGATAAAACCCTTGCTGATAAACCACAGTCATTACCATTGCTGGTAGCTCAAGATCTTCACCATTTCTTTTTCAGCCCCTGAGCATTGACTAGACAATATTTACTTCCACAGACAGTTTTACTTTATCTTGTCACTCCTGTTAAATAACCCTATTCACTGACAGGGGTAACAGCTTCTAAAAGGCTACAGGAAAAATCTCAGCTGGTCACTCTGCACTCACTAAGAGGTACCTTAGCACACCTAAAAATCCTTTCCCTGATGTTAATTAGGTCCTTCTTGCTTGAAGCCTTTGAGGGTGGGAGTGAAGCAGGAGCCTCACATGCCACTCTCAGGATGCAGCTCAGTTTCCAGAAGAGAGATCTGTGTGGTGTCTCTGCACTGCCAGCAGCAGAGCTCAGATGCTTTTCAGCCCAGAAATCTGCTCCTTTTGAAGGTCAAACATTTTATCTGCCAAACACACTGCCAAACTGGCCAGTCAGGGAAAATACTTTACATCAGTTCAGTGTTTATTTGGAGAATATTCTCCAGGATCTGCTTTCATCAAGCTGTTCCTGCCCAGGATTTGTTAAGAGCCAAGAGCAAAACTACTGTCTGGTAACACAGAAACAATTAGACACGGGCAGAGAGCCAAGGCCCTAACACAGGCCATGGCTCACTGTGTGAGGATGGACAGGCAGAGTGAGACATGGTGCTTTCCATTTCACACTGAGCTCCTCTGTATCACAGTGACACTATCTACCTCCCTAAACTACAGGCTGTGTTCACTCCGTGGTGAAAACACTAATTGAAAGGTTTAGTTGGTGAATATCTTGAGTCATCTGAATATCTGCCATCAAGCTTTCCCACAACCAAGTCAGCCATTCTCAGTGTAAATATTCATTTTTTTTCAAGTGCTTAAGATTAAAAATAGGACTTACTCTAACGCAAAATAGTGCAGACATTTGACCTAATGTTCTTTAGTTCCCACTTCGGCAAGAAAGTTAGTTATCTTGTCTCAAAAACTGCACAGTAGGGATACAAGTTCTTTAAGCATCTGCCTGTACTCCTGAGAAAACATTTAGATGAACTGAAAAATCCAAGCTGTTTGTGAATGATTCTCTATACAAGTGTCTCTTATAGACACATCGCAACTCTTATTTATCATAGAATCACAGAATCAACCAGGTTGGAAAAGACCTCAAAGCTCATCAAGTCCAACCCTACTGTGGTTACTAGACCATGGCACTAAGTGTTATGTGCTCCTTAAGAGCACAGGCCACCTGAATAATCCTTATTTTAAGGAAAATTAAACACAGGAGACACCAGATTAAAGAGCTGATTTTTTTAGGATGGATTTTAAGAGTCCCTCTAAATTGACAATGCCCTGATCCCATCCCAAGCTGTAAATCTGTGCTCTATCCAATACCCTGTGTGTTCTCTCTGCATCACAAGTGCCTTCTGTAAGGACTACAATCCACAGCTCTGAATGCTACCAGTTCTGTGCCTTTTTTCATTAGTGACTACAGAAATAAAATATAAATCTAAGCCTGTATTTGGCATTGCTACTGTGATGTTTTCACAGCACTAAAAACACCCCTAGGATCCCTTTGCGTTACAGTTATCTCAGAGGGTAAAACCCTTTCTAAAACAATCCCTAACCAGATGATCATTTCCCACTAAGCAGCACTAAGAGCTGTGTCATGTTCTTAGCTGACAGAATTAGCTTCTGCTGGGTGTTTTCCTCACCTTTTCTGTCTGGCTTGAGGTTGCGATCCACTGGCGGCGGCTCACACTCCGCAGCAGGCACCGACCGTCTCGGGGGCGTCTTTGGGCTGGACCTGAAACCCATGTGAGCAGGAGGAGGGACTTGCTTTCCAAATAATGGAAAATCAAACGTGCCTGGTGTCATTGGTACATAGTTTGTTTCCTGGATGGGTTCAGTGAAGCTGCTGGAATGCTGTCGTGGAGGAGAGTTGGGATTCATTGGGACATAATTTTCATCTAGTTCTTCACTTGAAACACTTCCCACTGTCAACATGCTTCTGTTTTTCTAGAATTAACATATATTTCCTTTAACAAAATAAGTTATGCCATCAGCTGTGAATCACATGAACTTTTTTTAACCTAATCTACTCAGATTAACATACGCCATGGACACTGAAAAATCACAGTTTGCTCTTCCACGTGGAGCGGAGAGCGTCCGAGCAGTGCCACTGCTGCTCTCAGCAGACAAAGCCATACTTACAAAGTGGTTATGGAAACCCTCCAGGGAATTGGATCTGTCGTTTGGAAACGTTCGCGGGATATCATAACAGTCTTGAGAACTAATTTCTGGAGAAACAAGAAGAGAAAGTGGCTGTTTATCATCCTGTCCCTGCCACTTGGCACCAGCAGCCAGAGCCTGCTGTTATTAGCTATCTGCTCCTCAGAGCACACAAACATCTCCTGAAGCTGTGGCCTATAGGTTTTACCTGTACTTGAGAGGAATTATGTCCACAAACAACCTCAGCGCTCACCAGTCACAACTTCAGGCTCTTACAGTGGTGCTTTTCCCATGGCAGGAAAAGAAAAAGGAGTTTCTCTCTCTAAATAAGCAGCAAATACTTTCTTTCAAATTAGCAGCTGTGTGAGTCTAGTGTAAGAGTGAAAATCTGGGCCCTACTCTAAACCCAACAGACAGCAGATGCAGTTTAGGGTCTGGGGAAAGGTTTTCTGACTCTTTGCTCAGGAAGTGCTGATTCAGCGCAGCCGAATCCCTTCTCTCAACTCCCCAGGGAGGTCTCCAGAGGCTTCCAGTCTGACCAAACTGCTGCAGAACCAAAGAGCTCTCCCTTCTCAGGGCCCTGGCTCTTGGCACGCCACACTGAGCAGGTACTCAGCGTTGTGCTGGTTCTTCGGTGGGCAGGGATGGTGGAAATCCCTGCTCATCCCTGCAGCAGGCACAGCCCTCTTCCTGCTGCCAGGAGAGACAGGGCAATCTCTGGGCTTTAGCCCTGCCGGGCCCGGAAAAAAAAGCCCTGAAGTTATCAGATATTTCCACCTCAGGTGAAAACTAAACAGCTCTGCTATAAAGCACCAAATATTTTCAGACAGGCAGTTTTTCATGAGACAATCTCAGCTTTAGTGTAGGAATCAGCCATAAACTTAGCACAATGAGAGAAGATAAGCAAAGCAAAGCAAGCATCTCTCAGGGTGTTACTTTGTAATTTGAAAACACCAACAACCACCAATGTTGCTAAACTTCGCCTGTGAAACGAGCAACAAGCAGGACAATACTATCTGAGGACCTGTGTGATCCTCTACAAGCTCTGCCCAGTCCCCTCATTTGAGCCTCCTCTCCTGTCCCTAGTGCAACTCAGTGCTCCTTTAAAATGCCCTCTGACATGAGCATCAACTCTAACTAGTTTAAAACATCACTCTGAAAATAACTCTACAGTACCCACCTAACTCAGGAACCCATAAAGAAATAAAACTCAGCCTGAGAGGGGATAACAAGCCAAGCCACGAGGCAGCACATCTGGAGCACCAACACTTAGCTGGTCACAAGGAACAACTTTGATTTGACTTGAAATTGCACTGCACATATCTACCACAAGGAGAGGAGCAAAGGCTCCTCTCCTTTGATCTTGGCAATGATCACCAAACCAGGGCTGATCTCAAAGCTCTGAGCACACACCAAATCCCACTGACCTTCAGGAAACACTTTCAGCTCCTGCAGATTGGACCACATTGCACTAACCTCACTTCTTTTTCTGAGGCTGATAATGGCAGCACTGAATTCAGCTACAGGAGCTTATTTGCAAAAAAAAATAATTAGAGATGCTCAGTTCTTCACCGCTGTTTTCTGATGATGAGTAACACCACAAATATCTCTAGGTCTTCAAATATTTTTAGCCAAGACCAAATGCCACACTGCAATGTCCATGCCTTACCAATGTTGTGTGCTTTGCTGTGTTCACGGTTTCCTTTAATAATCTCTTTTTCCTCTTTCTTACCTATTGTAAACATTGAACCAGACCCCTTTGTGAAGGGCTCCAGGATTGCTTTGCTGTCGGTTTCCTTTAATAATCTCTTTTTCCTCTTTCTTACCTATTGTAAACATTGAACCAGACACCTTTGTGAAGGGCTCCAGGATTGCTCCTAAAGGCTGGAAACTACCCTCAAATCATTCAGCCCTTTTGTATCATTCATGAAATAGGATCATGGAGTTCGAGGGGTTGGAATGGATGTTAGAGATCCTCCAGTCCCAAGCCCTGCCCTGGGCAGCCTATTGTAAACATTGAACCAGACACCTTTGTGAAGGGCTCCAGGATTGCTCCTAAAGGCTGGAAACTACCCTCAAATCATTCAGCCCTTTTGTATCATTCATGAAATAGGATCATGGAGTTCGAGGGGTTGGAATGGATGTTAGAGATCCTCCAGTCCCAAGCCCTGCCCTGGGCAGGGACACC